CAAGAAGACAGGGGATCCCATAGTCCAAGGCTTTCTGGCTGCCTAGGTCCTATCTGCTGAGGTCCCGTCAGAACAGTCCTTCACTAGGGTTGACACTGGCAGCGACTCCTGCTTTTGGAAAATTCCAGTCCACCTGCCAGCCAGGTGTACCTTACTTATCCTCGCTGTCCTTCTGAAAACCATGCCATAAGTCAGCAAAACCATTCTGCAGGACCTTGGGAGAGACAGGAACAGGTGAGTGTTTGTGTGAGTGGCAGCAGCAGCATCTTACTCTCTGGTGGCTGAACCAACTCCTATATCAATGGAGGGAATTTGTCCAGCTCTTGCCTGATGCCACAATGGGCAGGACCTGGAGTCTGAAGTTAGTACATTTTAATTAGTTAGGGGATCCCCGATTAGTTAGGGCTGCTGCTCAGCCTTCCAGCCTGCCAGTAGGCTGGTCCAACCATTAGGTTGGGAGTCAGGATTTGGTTGACAATGGCTGTATGGAAGAAGGAAGGAAGGAAGGGGATGGATTAGGGGCCAGCTCAAGGGTGTCTTGTCCCTCTTGGAATATGCTGGTGAATGGCAGATATGCAGCTTCTGGAGAACACACCAGTAAGCTGCATTGGAAACTCAATCCCATTTGCTGTCAGAACTGTTCTTGGTTCAAAACTTGTGTTGCTGGGGTCCACACTGCCACCACTGGAGGTGGGAGAGGCAGCACAGGGTTCTATTTGGGGAAGAGGTGTGCCTTGTTTGCTTCGATTTTGTAAGCTCTTGCTAGTCCTCTCCCCAGATAAAATTCCAAGGAAGAAAAGACAGTTCTCTAGAGATACTGACACACCTGGATCCTCAGGTGTATGATATATTTAAAAGGACTCCATGTGCTTATAGATCTGTGTGCCAATTATACAAGTACACATATCCTGGTCAGTTTCTTCTTAGGTATTTTCAAGTTAAAATCCTGTATATTCCTTCACTGATCTCTTCCTTGTTTCTTTTGACCTCCGTGCCCTGAGAAGCCTAGATTTCCTTCCCAGGAGCAGAAAAGACTCCAGAGAGACAAGAGAGACTGAGAGGCTGAGATTCAGGCTGAGCCTCCTCCCTCCCATCTCTGACTGGTGCTGTGGACTTCGGTGACTAGCCCTTCGACCATGAACTTCTAAATCATTCTCTCGCTAGACTGCAGTCTGTGGAGGCAGGATATGGGACTTCTGTTTCTGGTTAGCGCCCCCACCAGCACCCAAGCCTATGTTCCAGATACCCGCCTAGCTCACACCCATGTTGGCTTAGCTGCAAAAGGACACTGGGTAGACAGTGAGGGGGTCAGGCTCCAGTGTGTCTGGGATTCAAGAGAACCTGTGTCCAGCCGGGCCCATCTGTAGATCTGTGGCTTCTTGGTCACAAGGTAGAGGGGACGGAAGGACGTGCTGCCAGCTCCCAACTTGGAAACTGTCTCCTGTCACTGAAGAACCACTATCTCCCCCACCTCCCTTGTTGCCTGCGGGCCCTGGGACAGCTATGCCTCTGGAGAGCCCTGATTGTCACATAGGAAAGGAAAAAACCACACATTTGAGTGGCAGAGGAAAAAAATGAAGCAGACAAAGGCATCTTATTTCAGAAACCAGACAGGTGGATCTGGGGTTGGTCAACAGTTTTACTTTGGAGGGACCTTGCAACTGTTTGGACAGCAGGATGTGATTTAATTTTAGTTTTGGTTGTAAAGAGGACACCAGAGCAGCCACTACACTGGGCCATCTCTGCTCAGTCTTCCTGGACCATGACCATGATCTTGTTTGGCTGGTCCTGTTAGGCCATTTTTGGGTCATACGTGGTGATGAGGAGGGGCAGGGACCTGTGCTGGAGGAGGCACTTGGGTCCCAAAACATCTCCTCCATTTGTTCTGACCATCTCATTTGTGCTACCTGACCTCTCCCTGAAATTCTGCAAGGCCAGAGTTGGACTATGTTGTCGAGCTTGCCTTTCTTCTTATCCCAGGGAGCACTTCCAGGCCTTAGCTTCAGGAGCTTGCGAGAAGCCAGAAGACACTCTGGGGTGGACATAGCAACAGATGACATAGTGGTGGTGGCAGAACTAGTAACAGTGATAGCAGACACATGGGGCTGGGATGGCCCACATGCTGTTCTCAGCGCTTAGACTTCAACCTCACAGCAACTTTAGGAGGCACCGTTAGCATCATTCCCATCTTATAGATGGGGAAACGAAGGCACAGGGAGCTTTAGTAACTTCCCTAAAGTCACACAGTGCCAGGACTAAGATTCGAACCTAGGCAGTCAGGTTCCAGAGCCCAGACTCTTCAATGTTATGCCATTTTGCTGGTTTACTGGTAATAAGTACATCACTTGTAAGCCACATGAGAGGCATGGAGCTGAGAAAGAAGCTAGAGAGGCTAAGAGAGAAAAAGCCCCAGTGGGACTCCACAGTAATGGTGGAATTCAAACTCTCATGCAGCTTCCTTTTTTCACTAAACTGTCCTCAGATGAAAAAGTTCCAAGCTCAGGAAGTTTCAGGGCAAGGAAGGAGTTGGCTGGTTGTGTGTACAGATGCTTCCAGAAGTACCCAGCTTTATGAGGCAGGTCTGTTTATGACATCTTATGTCTAAATCAAGTCAAGCCGTTTCTGAGCCAGGATGCTGTTATTTAAAGGAGTATCTTTTGCCTTCCCCTTGCCCAAGGCCAAGGCTCACCCCCTAGTTAACCTCCGTGTTAATGAAGCAGAGGAGATGGGCCAAGTCAGTTCAGGAAGATTCCCTAGCACGGTCCTGGCAGACATGCCTCTGCCCAGCAGTGATGATGCTGTTACGACCTGCCTGTGCGGTTAATGTAGAGGAAACAGTCCCTGGGGCCTCCGGGAGGATGGCTTGCTGCCAAGGATGCTCTTGCAGTGTTAGGCACAGAGATGGACACAGGATGTTGAGGGAGATAGACCTGGGATCTTGCCACCCTCTCATTTTTACAAGAGACTTGGAAACAAGTCCTAATTTTAACGGCCTCTGCTAAATTGCTGACTTTGCAAGTGGGCTCTGTGTTTTGCCCTTCCTGGCAAGAAAGGTCTACGGCGGCCATCGATTTATCTGAGTCCTGACTTCATGTCTGACTGGAATGGTAGGATCCAAGCTCATTTGGAGAGATACAGGACAGAACCCAGTAAGGATGGGAAATTTGGTTCTTAGTAAATACATTTTAAAGAGATTAAAGAATTGGGAAACACAATGGGACATCCACCTTGGTGAAGGAAAATGGAGCTTTCATCCAGAATGGATGTATGTGTGTGTGTGTGTGTGTGTGTGTGTGTGTGTGTGTGTATTCTGTTTACCAAGGATTATTGAATATCCTTTCTGGACTAAGTGCAACTTGAGATAGGAAGGAGTGACAAGACCTCAAAGCTGGAAAAGTTGGATTTGTAACTCAAAGTGTGGCTGCCATATGAGCAAGATCCTCCTATCCTGTCGAGCCCCTAGCATGGGCACACCCAGCTTCTTTTGATGGAGATACTACTTGCACACCACCAGCCCTTTCTGACTTCTGTTGCTTATTCTTGCTATTGTTTGATTTTTTCTTTGGCCAAGCAAATGAATGTTACCCTCTGCAATTTCCAGTTTTTGTTTCCAAGACCTGTCCATTTGCTCCTACATGGGCCAGCTTTACAAATCTTCAAAGAAAACTCTTGGGTGCTTTCTCTTCACATAAAGTAGAAAGAGAAGATATAACCTCTTATGGTTGCAAAGTTAGTTTCTCTCTTTGTGCTCTCTGCATGTGGTAAATGCTTTTCTTTCAGCCCTTGACACACTACGTGTAATTATTTTCATATGCATCATCAACTAATATTTACTGAACAAGTCATTTCTGTCAGACATTGCAGTGGAAAACTTCGTAAGACCTTTTGTCCAGTCCTCATTCTGATGCCCTGATTTAGGTAGAGTTACATCCTCTTTACAGATGAGCAAATTAAGACTCAGAAAGAGGAAGTGGCTTTATTCTCTGTCAAGGTGGCTTTCCTTATCTAGATCATATCCATGCTAATTCTGTCCTTGTAAGAGAGGCAGTATGCTGCGGCACACAGTAGGTATGTAATAAATGGGAGGTGTTTTTAGTATAATAATCCTTCCATGGTAAGCCTGTTCCATTTTTGGTGTTGATGATGATGATGATGATGATAATGATGATAACATTTATCTAACGCAAACTATATCCCAGACAGTGTCAAGAGTTTCACATCCATCATCTTGCCAGATCTCATCAATTTCAGAGGTTTGGGCTTCTATGATTCCTATTTTACAAAAGAATGGAGGCCAGAAACAAAGCAATGCACATTCCAACAGTCACAGTAAAGCCATAAACAACACTGCTGGAGTTGGAACTGTTCAGTCTGACCCTAGAGCCCCCCACCCAATGGCTCCGTCTTCTGCTACATCTCCACTGAGCTAGACCCTACTGCATCCCTTGCTGTCTAAGCACTGGGTACCAAGGGCTTGATCAGAATGCCATCTGGGGGCACCAAGGGAAGCTGGCTGCATCACAACCCTGCGGACATGTCAGGATGAGGCGAGTTAACACATGGAGAGAAGAGCCCCAAATGAGGAGTTAAGCGGGGGTCCCGGTGGAAGGTGAACAGGGCTGGGAGACATCAACATTGTCAGGTGGGCGACAGAGAGAGGGCAAGAGGCTCTAACAGAAGTCGATTTGGGCTGATGGTAAAGAGAGTTAAGAAACCCCCACCCCATGCTGGGCAGGCGGTTGGTGGGGGGTGGCTTGTAGAATTTCAGTGCCAGGTAGTTGTGGACATTTGAGGTATAGCTTGAGTGAGGGCTGCTTCTCCTTTTCTCCAGCCTCCCTCTCACCTCAGTGTCTCAGAGTTCCCACTCTTATCAATGCACGGCATCCATTGGAGTTGGCTCAAGGCTAGAGAGCCATTTCAGGCTTGGCGGGTCTAGACGGGGCTCCTGGTGTGGCTCAGGCCTTCGTAACCGCTCCCTGCCTCTGTCTTGCTTTCTCTGTAGTGATCCGGGCCAAGGTGGTGGGGAAGAAGCTGGTGAAGGAGGGGCCCTTTGGCACGCTGGTCTACACCATCAAGCAGATGAAGGTGAGTGACATCATGGCTCCGGGGGGTTTCTGGGGTTTTGCCAGAAAAGTCCTGGCCAAAGGAGGCAAAGTGGGTTGGAACTGGGGTGTGTGTTTTCTCAGTGTCTAAGCCCCAGCCAGCCTCAGCCCTTCTGCCTGCTGGGGAGGGAACTGCTAAGGCAGCAGAAAGGTCAGGCAGGGAGGGGGCATTGGGCGACTGCATCCCAGAGACCCAAAGGTGGAGTCACTCAGAGGCTCTTGTCAGGAGCCAGGTGCAGATGGCCTCGTTATCTGGTAAGAGAACCTGATCAAATCTCTGCTCCTCTCCCAGCTTTAGTCTTCCAGATTGTAAAATGATCGGGTTGGACTGGATCCTCTCTGAGGGCTCTTCTGAGCTCTGACTTCCCTGGGTTCAGCCATGCTTATAGGTCTCGTGCAGTCATTGAGGTTGACCTCCCAAATCTTTTTTTTTTTTTTGAGTTTGAGTCTCACTCTGTCGCCCAGACTGGAGTGCAGTGGCTGCTCCTGGCCACTGCAGCCTCGACCTGCCAGGCTCCGGCGATCCTTCCACCTCAGCCTTCCGAGTAGCCGGAATGACGGGCACGCGCTACCACGCCCGGCTGATTTTTTGATTTATTGTAGAGATGAGGTCTCGCCAAGTTGCCAACCTCCCAAATCTTTACAGGGGACCTGCGCTGATCACAGGACCCTCACTGTGAGATAGGCGCTGTACCCTCTTTCCTGGTCTCCCAGCTCAGATTGCCTCCTTGCATCCGAGCCAGTAAGCAAGCTTCCTAAGCATATTTGTACCATGCGGCACTGAGCGTGTAACATCATGAAGCTCACTAAGGAAGAATGCCTGCAGGAAAATGAGCATCGGATGTGGTCTCAGCTCCACTCCTAAATAGCTCATTTACCTTGGCCCTGTCTCTTTTCCTGGGCCTCAGTTTGACTGTTTGTTAACAGTATGAGGTTGGGCTCGGGCTTGTAAGAGCCCTTCCAGCTCAGGCATTCTGAGCACCCTGGAGTGCTGGCATTGCTCCTTGCCAGCAGGGATGGGTGGCAATCAGAAGGGTGTACTGTGTTTGCCCCAGCAGAGGACTTGGGGCTTCACCTTGAATGACTCAGCCCCAGGCCCACTGTCCCCATCTGTAAGCACCTCCTTACATGCAGAGCTCTGTGCCAGGAGCCAGAGAGGCAACGAGACAGATACTGTTTCTACCTTCAGGAACTGTAGTCAGGTTGGGAGAGAAGAGATGTGTGTGACTCCTCGGAAGATCAGTACGGGCTGGGCAAGGTCGATGTGAACTGTCCAGTCCTCTGACTTATTGCTCACATTAGCATCCCCAGCAATCAGGGCGGGGCCTGGCATGCGACAGGGACTTGATGAATGCTTATCCATCTGATGGGGGTTGAGCAGGGTGAAGACTCCCCAGGGTAGACAAGCCTCAAGGGCCAGGTAGAATCGAGTGGACCACAGACACAGTGGGACCCACCCATCCCGGAGGCCAGCCCCAAGGCTTCATTGTCCTTGTGTCCTGAGGCCAGATGCACTAATCCTGTGGAACCTGTTGCTTTGGATTCTATGTTGGAATCATCCACAGCCTTCTGGTTATGTAATGTCCAGAGTCAGCCCTGGCCAGTTGCCCTTGGCTGCCTCAGTGTGGTCATGGGACCAGCTTATGTCTTCAGACAGCCCTGGGGAGAAGAGAATGGGCGGGGGTAGGGAGCCAGTGAGAGCAACAACAACTCAAAAACCCCAACCTCTGGCAGTGGGCGCGGGAATGCCACATCATATTAAACCGAAGCAGAGGGTCAGGAAACACATGAACCCGCCTCTGGAACAGTCCTCATTAGAAGACACAGTGGTCAGCAGAGAGCTGAGAGGGAAACGGCTGCAGGCAGTGGCTTGTCTGGCATCCCTCCTTCCATCAGGGTCAGACCTGCCACCAGGGGTTACTTAGAGACCCCACTGCATCTGCTCACCCACCAGCTTCAGCGCGCACACAGCCACTCCCAGTCCAGGGCCTCGGCTTTCCATCCACCACTCTACCCCTAGGCGCTGGGCATTCCAGGTAGAATTCCTCCTTTTGCTTCTGACAGAGGCTCAAAAGGGAAGTGACTTGCCCAGAGTCATGCATTTAATGAAGGGCGGATCTGTCTCCAGGCTGAGACACTGGGGTTCCTTCCCAATCCTGAGCTTGTTACACGACTCCCCAGATTTCCCTGCCATCTCACTTTAATCAGCAGATACACTATATCTGATGCCTTTTACTAACTCCGACCCTCTGGCCAACCTAGCACGATGCTCTACAGAAGTGGTCAGCGCCCTTCTAAGGGCCACTGAATTCTGCTTGTCTCCAGAGGCCAGCCTGCAGGTCAGAGAAGGTGCTGGCTAGAAACAGAAGCAGCAGTCCCTCCGTCCATCTTCCCATGCTCTCTGCTTAGCACTGGGCTACACACTGGGCTATACACAAATACTGCTTGTTGTGATTGTGATAAGACTCCATACAGGTACCATTTACTGAGCATGTGCTATGTGCCGGGCCCTCAGCCAAGCCTCGGCATAGATCAGCACTTATGCGAACACTGTGGCTCAGCTCCACCTATGACAGGTGAGGCAACTGAGATGTTAGGGAAGGTTTCTGATCATATGGCCAGAAAGTGGCAAACCCAATAACAACTAGAGGGTCTTTGCTTATAAGGAACTTATAGAACAGTGCAGCAACAGGCTGGCTCCTCACTCCTACTCACTCACGGGGCTACTCCTACCCTGCCTATATCTAGTTGCCCCAGGAAACAAAAGGAGGTTGGCTTGGGTTTGTTGGTTCACCATCCAGCAGCTCCTGACTCGCAACGTCCTGCAAAGGGTGTATCAGAAAAATCTTTGTAGGAGGGAAGGGGGAGAGGCCAGAGAGGCAAGCCTGTGTGGGTTTTGGCATCAGTCCCTGGGAGGCTTTGTTCTAGCGGATTAGAGAGTCTATCCCCGAGTCAGACGGGGTGAGCAAGGGCTCCCTTAGAGCAGGACTAAAGGAACTTGGAACCTGAGACTCCGCACTGTCTGACCTCTCTCTTTTCTCACTAATGAAAGGCAGGCAGACCTTCTCCTGTCTGCTAATTCTGGAGCCTCTGGCCCATTCTTCAGGCACACCTGAGTGTGCAGAGACCTCCAGGTATGTGTGTGTGTGTGTTAGGAGTCAGAGGAGTCGAGGGTGTTAGAATGTTGAGGGAGCTGATTACAAACCCCAGACTTGGAGATGAGCTGAGGCTGAGGCTGAGGCCCTGGGTTGTGGTGCAAAAGTGGAAGTTTCCAGAACTGGCCACTGTGATATGTGGGGACCTTATCTCCCATAGGGATCAAGAGAAAGCGGTTCACTGGACCAGGAGCTGTTGTTTGTGTGTGGAGACATGCTCTCAGGCTGACTGCAGGGGACAGCACGTGGGGAACATTATGTCCTAGCTGGTCCTGGGAGGGTCCTATGGGGAGGCATGCTGATCATGTGCTTTGCGCGTCCTGACTGTAGGCAGTACGGAGCTGCTGGTTAATTGGAATGCTTGGCCCCAGGGACTTCCTTCCTTCAGGGGCTTGTCTAATCAAATGAGTAAGAGCAGGCCCTCGCCTTTGAAGCTCTAGCTGGAAGCATCTTTGACCCCTCCAGCCCACAGGGAACCATTCCGCTCCTCCCCATGCCTATGACTCTTCATGGTTCAAGACTCATCCAGCCTCTGCCTCTCCAGTAGGCAGCCCATTTTGTAAGAGAAAGACCAGGTGCTTGGTATCTCACTCAGAATCCTAATGTCTCCGAACCTCAGTTGCTTGGTCTGTAAATAAGACAAGTTATGGGTTTAAATGGGTCCATGATGTAAACCAGCCTCCAGAACAGGTCTGATCTTCGGTAGGCATGCAAGAAATATTCGACATGATGGTGGTGCTTCATGTTGTCAATGCAGAGTGAAGACCAGATACTTCATAAGAAATAGGCAGATGCCACCAGACTCACAAACCTCTTTCTTACATTGTTTGTCTCTTCACCCCAAGGGAAGCTACTTTCTTGGAACTTGCTGTAGATACTACTGAGAAGGGGACCCAGAGGCTTGTAGGATCTAGCTGAAAAAGAACAACCTCTTGTGCCTGAAGTTCTAAGCCACCTTTAACTACCTTTGCCAAGAGTTGAATAGAAGAAAAGACACTTAGGAGGAAAGGACCAAACCTTCTCCTCCTCTCCTTAGGAATTCTGGTATAATTGGTTTTAAGCTAACCTTTACTAGGTGCTGTGTGCCAAGTGCTATTCTTAGTCATTTAATTCTCAAAAACACCTTATGAAGTAAGGACTTTTACCCATTTTACAGATGAAGAAATGAGGCCCAGAAAGGTTAAATGACTTTCCAGTGTCTTAAGTGGCAGAGACAAAACTCAAGATTCAAGCTCTGGCTGTCAGTCTCCAGAAGCTGAATTGGTCACTCTCCTCCATGATGCTGGTTTACCCTCAACTCCTCGATTACCCTCAACTTCTTTCCAAATCTGAGAGTCTATGATTCGCTGATTTCAGGATTATAAATCTATTATAACCTTTCTTAATTTGTCAGACCAACTCTAGATCTCTATGATTGCAGACATAATGATACTTTTAGGATCGATATTAGGTCAAGATAGGATTATTATATAGAAAAGACAACTGAGTGAGTACTGTCTGTCTTTCCCATGTTGTCACTTTCAGAATGGACCGCAAAATGCAGGCCTGTGTTTGCCAGACCCAGTCATCTGTAATGTCTCAGACTTTCAACTCTGTGTGCAAGGGCTAGAAGCAATGTTAAAATATGGGTTCTTTCAAACTTAAAAGTAGCCACGATGCCAAGCTGACTTCGATGAGCAGTTCAAGTCACTAAACACTAAACAGGGGCTCAAATTCCACCCACAAAGCAGAGGGACAGTCAAGGAGAATGCCTGACACAGAAGGAATGAGGTTCCAGTGGGCTGGAACTGAAAGCCTTAGAGCGAGTGCTTAGTCAAAATGTTTGCCAAAACCTCAAGGAACACCCACACGAAAATAAGTTCCTCGGCACAAAAGTAAGTGTAGGAGACATTCTTCCAAGGCCACACTCGTGGCATGCATACAGCAGCACACTTAAACACAGTTCCTCGTAAAGCCAGAGAGACACCCTTCGTCATTGAGGAAGTCATCATCCTGACAGGACACCCCCCTGCTCCCCCACAGACTATCAGGACAACGTGCCCCTTAAACACAGCAGGGGAGCCCCAACTCTGTAGGTCCCACAGACCAGTCACCACTTAAAAGAAGATGAGGAAGAAAACCTCACAGGCAGAATGGGAGGCATTTAGATGAGACACCAGTGCAGTGATGTCTGGCTTTATGTTAATTACCATAAATAAATTAATAACACATGCTGGAACTGCAGTAGAGACATCATCCTACGTAGACCCTTGGGACAAGCCCAGAGACCACCAGTGTTCCAAGGCCTGGGTACTCTGACAGCTGGGTGGATAGAGGGATCGGGCAACACGTCAGTGTCCCATCCCACCAGTACCAGATCCCACAGTTCACAGTGCCGCCTTGGCAGATCTGGGCCTGCATAACACTCGAGGACTTAGCCTGGAATTACAAAGTGGACTCAGCCTCTGTTACATTCATGCCAGTGACTCTGGGCACACACTGGTCAAGGAGGCACAGTGACCATAGATGGAGGTGCACTTGCCTACATTGAGGACTTTGGTCCTAGGCTTCCAAGATGGCTTGGGAGCCAGCCCATGATTCTGGCCAAGAGCATGGACTCTGAAGGCAGATTTCCCTGCTTGGAATTCTAGCTCTGCCATTTCCCAACTGTGTGGCCTTGGGCAAGCCACTTAACCTGCCTGTGGCTCAGGATCCTTATCTATAAAATGAGCATAATAGTTCCTACCTCATGGTGATGTCATAGGGATTAATGGGTTAACATCAGAGCAGGGTTTCCCAGTCTCGGTACTATTGACCTATGGGGCCAGGTGAGTTTTTTGTTCTGGGGGCTGTCCTGTGCATTGAAGGATGTTTAGCAACAACCCTACCCTCTACGCACTGTTGTGATAATCACAGATGTCTCCAGACATTGCCAAATGTCCCAAATGTTTCCTAAGGGGGTAAAGTTGCTTCCAGTTGATAACCACCGAATTAGAGTATGGTATCGATAAAAATGGGCAAGTATCAGCAATTTCATATGGTGCAACCTAACAAATATAAAATGTTTAGTTAAAAATTGAATTTTGTAGACATGTTTATGTGCTTCATCTGGGGTAAAGGAACTCAGTGCCTTCCTCAGATGCTCAGAAGAATAAAAACATGAAGAATCCCTGGCCTGAGTTCAACTTTTACCAGCCAACCAAAACTTCTGTAAAATGAGGTTCATAGTACTTCTAGGATACCGTGAAGGGAATGTCAGTGAAAATGGTTTTGTACCCTAGAAAGTGTCATAGAGATGTCATGAAAATTCTGGCTGGCTGTCTTCATGGAGCTCAGGGCTTGAAGTTGACAAAGAAGGAGGACCCTTGTCATAACCACTTCTTTGGATTTCTGAAGAGGTGTTGGGATGTGAGAAATGTGTAGCTACAGGAGTGTTGTGGGATGGTGGGAATGGGGGTACAATAGTCTTAAGAAAGGTACCAACCCAGCTGGACAAGAGGGCTGGTGGCCCCCTATGGGGTGAAGGGGGTCTTGGGATGGGTAGGTCAGTGACCAGCCCCTTGATGGCCAAATAGGGGAACCAGATTCCCTTAGACCAAATAATGGCAGCTTTCTGGGTGTTGAGACACCTCTCACATGTACCTTTGTTTTATTTTACTGATACGTAATAGATGTATGTATTTCGGAGGTACATGTGATATTTTGATATATTCATATCATGTGTAATAATCAAATCAAGGCAAGTGGGCTATCACTTTAAACAATTATCTTCCCCTTATGCTGCGCACATTCAAATTATACTCTACTAGCTATTTTGAAATATACAGTAGATTATTGTAAACTGTAGTCACTCTACTGATAGATCAAACACTAGGTCTTATTTCTTCTGTCTACTTGTAATTTTGTACCCATTAACCAAGTTCTCTTTATCCCCCTCTTCCCAACCCTCCTTCTCCTGTGCTAGACCCCAGTCTGCTCTCTGTCTTCAAGACATCTTTTTTTAGCTGCAATATATGAGTAAGAACATAAAATATTTGTCTTTCCGGGCTTAGCTTATTTCACTTAACACAATGACCTCAGGTTCTAGCCATATTGCTCCAAATGACAAGATTTCATTCCTTTTATGACTGAATGATATTCTATTTTGTATGTGTGTGTATGTATGTGTGTGTATACACACACATACACACACACACACATATATATCTCCACATTTTGTTTATTCATTCATCCCTTGATGGGCACTTAGATTGATTCCATATTTTGGAATAAACATGGAGTGCAGACATCTCTTTGATACATTGATTTCCTTTCCCTTGGATATACACCCAGCCATTGGATTGCTGGATCATATGGGTGTCCAGATTGGAAAGGAAGAAGTCATGATGTTCCTTTTGTCCACAGATGTACCGAGGCTTCACCAAAATGCCCCACGTGCAGTACATCCACACGGAAGCATCCGAAAGTCTCTGTGGCCTTAAACTGGAGGTCAACAAGTACCAGTACCTGCTGACAGGTAATGATCAGCTCTAGCATCTAGGCCAAGATATGACCAAGGCCCACTGTTTCCCACTTCAGAAGAACAGATGAGGGGTCACTGACTTGGCAGTGTCCTGCGGGCACTCGCCAGTGAACCCTGAGGAGTCCCTAAGGTTGAGCCCATCTTGCCAGCCCTGTGCTGAGACCGAAAGCATCTAAAATTCAGCTGGGCTTGAGACTTGGCTGTAGTCTGGGCTAGAGACAGTGGCTGTACCACTGACCCTGTGGAGAAGACCTTCTATTTCTAGTTTTTCAGCTTTGCTGTAAATGAAAAGGGATTGTCTGTTCCTCTGCGCTGCACAGGCAGGATACGGGTCCTGACTTGGAAAGTTACCCACTTTTAGGCAATCACTGTAGTAAAGGAGAAGACAAAAACAAAACCATCAGGATGGGAATGGGCAGTCAGCCTCGAGATTCAGCTCCAGTACTTCATGGGCTTGGGACCTTTGGCAAACCGCTTACCCTCTCTGAGCTTTGTTATCCTCATCTGGAATGGGGTCTGCAGTCCCTCTTAAGAGGTGCTGGGAGGATGAAACAATAACAGAAGTACTCAGGCACAGTACCTAACCTAAGGGAGCAGAGCAGGTGGGCTGAATTCCTCCCTGCTGGCTGGGCTTTGGACTAAACAAACCCCTGGCACCTTGTTTCCTCCTCTAGGCCGTGTCTATGATGGCAAGATGTACACAGGGCTCTGCAACTTTGTGGAGAGGTGGGACCAGCTCACCCTCTCCCAGCGCAAGGGGCTGAACTATCGGTATCACCTGGGTTGTAACTGCAAGGTAAGCTCTGGGGTCTGGGCGGGGCGGGGAGGTGTGGGCTTGCAGCCCCAGAAACATCAGCTCCCGCTGTCCTGGGCACTGGGCCCTTGTGCTGGGAGAGGCAGAGTGGCAGGTCTGAGCAGAGGTGGTAAGGAATGTGACCCCAGGCTGGGTGGTGAAGAAGGCAGGGAAGAATGCCTCTCTGCTATAATGTGCTGCCTCTGTGATGGCCACTTGGCAGCTGCTGAGGCATGAGGGCTCTTCAGTGTCCCTGGTCCCTCCCAGCGGTTCAATGCTGAGGCAGGTACAGGATTCTAACACTGGCAGGTCCTGCCACGTGTTCTCAAGTGGGCTTACCCTGACCGCTGACTTGCTCCCCAGGTGGGCAAGCTGGTGCAGGTCTGCTGATGCCAGATATTCTAGAAGGTCTCTCTTCAACCAGACCTAACCCCCTGACCCAAGTACAGGGCCAAGGCACAGCCTTTCTGCTGTGGGAGGGAGTTGGGCCGTTCACGCACTTAATCTTCAGAACAACCCTGTGTAGTTTTCATTTAATTTAATCCCCATTTTACAGATAAGGAAATAGAAGCTCAAGAGAGCTTAAGTTACTAGCCCTGGGTCACACAGCTCACTGAATCTAGTTTCCAACCTAGATTCCAAAGTTTATGCTTTAATCTTTCTAATTCCTCAATTCCCTAAAACAGCTGAGATTTTCCATCCTTGCCTGTTGCCATTTGAGAGGGAAAAGCTTTCTCAGAATTAGCTGTGTGATCAGGAACAAGTTAATTAACCTCTCTGAGGCTCAACAGAGGCTGTATTTATAAAAGGAGATGAAAATGAAAAAGAATAACAAAACACTTAGCAGAATTCTGGTACACAGTAGGTGCTCCATAAATGGGGCTGATGTGGCTGGGCTTCCCCTGCAGCAGTCCTGAGGTCTGAATCCAGGCCCGGGCGGCATCCAGCCTGGGCACACAGTGGCAGAGTCCCCCAACCAATGGCTGTTATGTCATTGCAGATCAAGTCCTGCTATTACCTTCCTTGCTTTGTGACCTCCAAGAACGAGTGTCTCTGGACCGACATGCTCTCCAATTTCGGCTACCCCGGCTACCAGTCCAAACACTATGCCTGCATCCGGCAGAAGGGCGGCTACTGCAGTTGGTACCGAGGATGGGCCCCCCCGGACAAAAGCATCATCAATGCCACAGACCCCTGAGCACCAGACCCTGCCCCACCTCACTTCCCTCCCTTCCCGCTGAGCTTCCCTCGGACACTAACTCTTCCCAGATGATGACAATGAAATTAGTGCCTGTCTTCTCGCAAATTTAGCACTTCGAACACTTAAAGAAAAGTCTATGCTGTCATATGGGGTTTATTTGGAACTATCCTCCTGGCCCCACCCCACCCCTTCTTTTTGGTTTTGACATCACCCATTTCCACCTGGGAATTTCTGGTGCCATGCCAGAAAGAATGAGGAATGTCTACTCCTCTTCTTCGTGATAATATAATCTCTATTTTTTTAGGAAAACAAAAATTGAAAAACTATCCCCCTTCAGGCATTGTAATACCGACCGACCCCTCTTTCTTCCTCCCCACCTCACCATCTGCCGGACCCTCCTCCCTTCCCTCTTCTCCTCTACTCCAGTACATAAAGGACACAGACAAGGAAGTTGCCGAAAGGCCATCGGTTTCAGGCTGAGTCGAGGGCAGCAGGCAGGTAGACTCAAGGTGTGTGAGAGAGAGATCTCACACACCGAGGAGCTGCTACTGCAGGTCTCTGCCGGGCTGTGTCTACACATAAGACGGAGGGAGGGAGGGAAGAACCTACAAGAGAGAGTCGGAGAGGATGCAGCACACACACAGTTCCCCCAGCCCAGGGATGCTTGGGTTGACCAGATATCTCTGAGTCTGGAGCACACAGCTAGGTCAGAATAACAGAGCTTCCTTAGTTGGTGAAGACTTGAACATCTGCCTGAGGTCGGGAGGCACTTTGCCTGCCTTGTACAAAAGCTCAGGTGAAAGGCCTGGGATGAATGTCTTTCCTCTCCCCGCCTCCCACAAGATTTCCTCCTGGAAAACTCTTTGGTAGATGTGCTCAGGAGCTTGCCTTTGTGTAAATTGGAGAAATAAACACACCCTACACTATCCACAGATATAGCCAAGTAGATTTGGGTAGAGAATACTATTTCCAGAGTAGTGTTTAGCTCACCTAGGGGGAATACATTTGTATACACATTTGCATATACCCACACGGGGACATAAGCTAATTTTTTTTACAGGACACAGAATTCTGTTCAATGCTGTTAAATACGCCAATAGTTTAATCTCTTCTATTTTGTTGTCATTGCTTGTTTGAAGAAAATTATGACATTCCAAGTTGGTATTTTTTTTTTCATTTTCATTAAAATTTGAAATTCTGAACACCCTCATTTCCCTGTCCCCCCCCCCCATTGCTGGGATCGTCTGACTTCCATCCCTCTTCCTTTCTCCTGCTTCATGTTGGGGGCCTTATGTTCAACTGTCTTATTGACTTGACTCCAACGGCAGATGACAATTAGTATGGTCAGGGGCCTGGGCCCAGGCGGTAAGGCTGCAGAGTGTCCTGCCTTGGCTAGATGACCACCTCTCCCAGGTTTGGAGACAGCTTTTCCCCCTGTCCCCAGCTCACTGGTGGGTGAATGCCACCTCCTGGGGTCCTCATCTTGTGGAATTACAATTGTTGACCACTGGGGAAGCCTGACTCTGCAATCAGCTGTAGGGTTTTTATTGTGTTTTTTGAAATAAAACTATAATATAAATTGTCCTATTAAATAAAATTATTTTAAGTTTTAGTGTCAAAAGTGAGATGTCGAGAGTAGGTGGTAATGTATATTGTACAGAGTTGGGGATGATAGGATGGTGACATTTAACGTGATTGGTCTCTGTCTCTTTTTTCAGATTATGGGTATTTATCTTCTCTTAGTATTTGTATCTTCAGTTCATTCCACTTTAGGAAACAGAGCTGCCAACTGAAACAGGAGAAGAAAAAAAAAAAAAAGAAGAAGAAGAAGCAGACAACCCATTGTAGTGTCTTGTACATACACACACACAAATGCCCAGGCACAGTGTTTGGCAGAATTCCAGAGCGGGAGGAGAGTGCAGGTGTCAGGTTTCCTTGGAATCGATTTCATGACCTTGTACCTTTCCCCTTGTGGTCGTGCCATTTGGTGGGGTAGGAGTGTGGGGGTGGGGGTGGGAGACTTGGCCCTCTCCATGGAGCAGTGTAAGCAGATGAACTGAGGTCAGCAGGCCAATGGTTTTTAAGGGATGAGCCCAGGCTTGGTGTTTTGGGATTATCTTGATTTCAACCTCAGAGTCCTGCATGGTGGGGCCCCTGACCAACCCACACAAGTGCCCTTGCACAAGTGGTCATCTGTCTCCTCTGGGAGGCATCTGGCCATTCTTGGTCCCTGGTGTGGTCACCCCACTTACACAAGGACGGCCTCGGGGTGAAGCCTGAGCAGGAGGCACCTGCAGTTTTGCTGCAGGGTAGCTGAACAAGCAGGGCCACAGACCCATCGGGTAGGCCTTGGTGAGAAGGCCCTGGGCACAGAAGGGTCTTTTGCAAAACCATGTTGTCAGAGGGCGGTTTTGAGCTTTCTATAAGCTATAGCTTTGTTTATTTCACCCGTTCACTTACTGTATAATTTAAAGTCATTTATGTAGCTGAGACACTTCTGTATTTCAATCATATCATGAACGTTTTATTTTGCTAAATCTTGTGTCATGTGTAGGCTATAATATGTGTACATTGTGTTTAAGAGAAAAAAGAAATGAAACCCACATGCCACCATTTTCCTGAATCAAATTCTACAATGGAATGGAGAGTAAAATACTTCTACTGGGCAGGCAGCCGGGTTGGCAAATGGGGGGAACTAGAAGGAGCTAGTAACTGAGACTCCTCCAGCCATCCCTGAGGGGAATCCCAGTGATTCCTGGAACAGGGAAGAAAATAGAAAACACACACGTGTCCTCGTTCTGTGTCACTGGCCACTTACTTCCTCCCAAGTCCCTTTGCCCATCTAATTGGGAAGCCATGATTGCCCCTAAAAATTCAGAGCCATGAGAGAGCTATGATTCCAGCTTGCTCTGCCTCCTTTGGGCATCTCTTCTGCCTTCCAATCACAGGAGCCCACGCCCAGGCTCTCGCCTCTCAGTCCAGTGCTCCAATCTGGCCAGGGTTGTGATAAATACCAGGAGGTTCCTGACTTCCTCTCTCCCCTGTACAGCTGGTGGTTCAGCTGTACAGCCCATGAACACCCATTTCATGCCATGGTTCCTGAACAATTAAATACATGACTTATGGGAACAGCTAGGAGACACTGCGGCTCCTGGGGGACGCCACCTTCCCTGCTCCAGCCCTTCATCCTATTCATGAATTTCCACAGTGTGGATTGCCCCAAGATGGCACCCAAGTGTTTGACTCCTGGCCACTAAAGTAAAAGTATCACTAGAATACGAGAGAAACATGACAATCTGATGGCAAGAGCAAAACAAAGCAGGGGAACGTAGGGGAGGTGCGTATCATATCAACAACTTCCAAAGGGACTCTTTGGAGGTGAGAGGCAGGGAGAGGCTCCAGGAATGCTTCATGCTCTGGAGTTAGAGGCTCCTTAGACGCCCCTGTGCTCCCGTCTTCCCCTTTAGCCGGCCTGCTGTCCTGAAGCCCAGAAGTGATGGAGAGAAACCAACCAGAGAAAACCCTGCTCAGAAGGAATGTATTTGTTGCTAAATTTTGTAGCACTGTTTACAGTTTTCCTCCATGTTATTTATGAATTTTATATTCCGTGAATGTATATTGTCTTGTAATGTTGCATAATGTTCACTTTTTATAGTGTGTCCTTTATTCTAAACAGTAAAGTGGTTTTATTTCTATCACACATCTGCCGTCTCTGTCTCTTGCCTTGTTGTGTGCTGACGGCCCCTGGGGGGTTGTATAGATACCAGAGGGCCTTGGAAGTCTGTCCTGCTTGCCCCATCTCCCAGCCTGTGCACACCCCCCACCTCACCCTTTCTGCAGCTGTAGCAAATGAATTCCCACTCACTTCTCCAGCATGGGCTTGTCTCACCCAGCCTTTTTCCTTTAGCAGGAGGAATCTCAAGAGAGGTCTCTCAGATTTCCTCCTGGCTGCAAGTCCAGCCCTTCCCGTGTTCCCTGATCCCACTGCCAGGGCTCTCCTGAGTGCTACGGAATTTGGATCTATATCGAATCACCTATGGGTGGTACAGGTACTTTCAGGCCGGGGCCCTGGCTCAGCCTTCCTTGTTTTCCCCCTAAGAATTCCAACCTGGCAGAGGAGGGAGGAGAGGCCTGCAAACAGTGTCCTGAGGTCAATTGCCTGCTTGAAATTCTGGGTATAGCTCGGCCTAGTTGGGACGCCAGGAATTCATGAGGTCCCACGACAGCTGGTGACTCCTTCCCAGAGCTTAGAACAACCTCCTCCCAGGGTTTACAGCAGAGCCTGTCACCCTCAACGGGCTGGGTTGGCTGTAGACCCCACACCCAACTTTCACCCCACAGTTGACAACGTTCACGTTATAGCTTTTGCCACTATTTTTTTTTTATTTTATTGCATTGGAGTCTCACTCCGTCGCCCAGACTGGAGTGCAGTGGCCACTCCCGGCCACCACAGCCTCGACCGGCTGGGCTCTGGCGATCCTTCCGCCTCAGCCTTCCAAGTAGCTGGAATTACAGGCGTGCACTACCACACCCGGCTAATTTTTTGATTTATTGTAGAGATGAGATCTCGCCAAGTTGCCCAAGTGGGTCTCGAACCCACGAGCTCAGGCAATCCACTCACCTCAGCCTCCCAAGGCACAGGATTACAGGCTGAGCCACCGAGCCCAGCCTTGCCACTGTTTTAAAGAGACTCCACTTTGAACACTGATCACATGCCAGGCTCAGCACTTAGCACACACAGCCACATGAAACCAACAACCCAAGGAGGCTGTTGTACGATCATCTGTGGATTTCAGCTGAGGAAGCGAGGCTCACAGAGATTAAGTCACTGTCCAGGACCTGCTATGTAGCAGGAACTGAGGTTCAAACTCAGGCTGGTTTGGTGATAAATGTTGAATTTTCTCTATTGTATCTATCCTCACTTTGCTGGAGTATGCTGGGTTTCACATGCACCCTGCTTATCCCTGTAGCACATCCTGGATTCTGTGTCTCACTGGATCAGATATAGGGGACAGATCATCAGTGGGAAACTCTGCTTGCTTACACAGCTCCCACTGGACCCTGCAGTCCTGCCTGTCATTGTCTCACACGGGGCTGTCCAGCTCAGCAGCCTGAGTTTGGATTCTACACACAGGTCCCAGGCTCCAGTTGGGACTGTAGGATACCCTATTAATTATTCTGTTCCAAAAGACACATACCCTATTAATTATTCTATTCCCAAAGACACATTCCTCACAAAGCCAAGCACAGGGCCATGACCCTGCATTCCTTTGATCTGTTTAAGGAGACCATCAACCATGCAAGCAGGTACGCGTGGGCTGTTTCCAGCTGCCCAGAGCTCCTCCCTGCAACTACTTCTGGCAGCACATGGAGAACTCTCCGCCCCATTCGAAAAGACGTTCATGTCTCCCAGTTAGGTGCCCTCCAAAAGCGAAGCTATACCCACACACTCTGAATTTAGCCCCAACTGCAGAGACAACCTCAGGTGCATTCAAAAGTTAGACAGTGAAGAGGACACATAAGGATACTGCCCTTCAACCATCAGTGCACATAAATTACTGCTTTTTGTTAAAAAGTTGAAACCAGGTCCCGGAAAAGATCAAAATGAAATAATATCCCACTTAATAGCATCTTTTATCTTTATACTCAACCTCTAGCTCCAGCACACCAGCTCAAGCTGTCTCCTGATTTGTTGGAAATTCCTGAGGTCACAGGGAAGGTTGTCTACCTTTGTCATTTGACCTCCAGCCTGAATCTCACTTGGGAGATGACTCTTCCCCTAGGAAAGCTGGGCATTCCCACAGGACACTCAGCTCTTCCCTGGAGCCAGGGTGGTCAGAGAGCAACCCCCGGAGCCTGCCTCCTCTGTCTGCAGGAACTGAGGACACAGACATCTGTGTTCATCGCGCACCATCAAAATAAACAGCGTGCAAAAGGGCACTCACCATTGGCTTGTGGTTGGGGAAAAACGTTTGCTCCACCAGCGGGAACTTCTCAGGACCCAAGGAATGGAAGATCTTAATGAGCTGAGAGAACTAGGACAGAAGAGGAGAGAACATTCATCAGCCACTGTTAACCCAGAAAGGCAAAAACTTCCTCTTGGTGCTGGACCCCAAGCATCCGACTGTTCTGAGTGAACTGAAGAAGGTGTCCCTGGGCCATGGGAGAAAGGACGAATTCCTTTCTCCCATGGAAAGGGAGAAATGTCCTCTCTATTACCTTGCTGGGTCAAGCCCTCTATTCCTGCCCAAGACCTTGTAAGTAGGCAGAAACCTGGGTTCAGCTCAACTGCATTCAGTGAGCACTTACAACATCCTCAGCACTTCACACAACATCCTTGTCCACAGTACAACCTGGTGACACTCATGCCATGACCCCTGCCTGCAGTCTTCTTTCTGGGGAGTCAGCGCTGCGTGGTAGTTTAGGGTGGAGACTTTGGGTCCAGCCTCCCTGGTTTTAAATTCTTGCTTTCCTACTTACAAGCTGCATAACCTGGAAAGAAACTCCAGGTTTCTGTACCTTGGCTTCTTCATTTATAAGCTGGAGATCATGAGACCTTGACCTCAAAGGATTGCTGTAAGGGTGCAGTGTGTTCCAAGCAGTGCTTATCTGTAGGAGTGCTCAAAGGCTGGTCATTGTTGTTATTATTATTTTAAAATTTATATTTTAAAATATAAAATTTATATTTTATTTGAAAGATAGGTGGTACCAGGCTGTTTGATTATTGTGCTGTTATTATTAATAAATATTTTCTTGGCTATCGTGACCCTTTTCGTTTCCAACAGCTCAAGTCACATCCCTTCCCATTGTCCTCTCCTGCCTCCACCCCTCCTTGTCCTGCCATAGACCAGTTAGTGCCTCCAGAGCTGGAAGGTAAACTCCATTACTGAGTTTCATGTTTCAGGAGAGGATCTGAACAATGCAGGGGCCAGGCCTGAGGGAAGACAGGGCTGCAGGTGCATGGCTGAAATGTTAACGTCTCGCTGGAGGGAAGCATGGGGGTTTATGAGATCTGGAAGGGGGACTGAGTGTGGGTCCAGGAAGACTCCCTGGAGCAGATGAATAAGAGGAGGAGGGCACTTCAGGTGTGCATCGAGACAAGTGTGCGCTGGAGACCTTCATCAGCTGCCATGCCGGGGCCTTGGGTGCAGGAGGCTGGAGGGTGAGCCCTCACAGAGCACCAGGGCCTTCAAGACCTGGCCAAGGAGCTTAGAGTCATCCAGAAGGTGACAGAGAGCGGCCAACAGACACAAGCCAGGAAGAGCAAGTCAGATTCTGATTGAGAGGAAGGAATCAGTGAAAATTGACGACTGAATGTAGCTGCCCGGTGGTTAGAAGGAGGGCCAAGCCTTGTGCCAGCCTGACTTGGGTGTTACTCAATATGAAGAGCCCCAAGAGAGAGAATGAGGGAATCAGGAGCTTTCTGCACCAACCCAGGATTGATCTGCAAACTCTAGGGGTGTAGCCTGCAGGTGCAGCAAACATGGGGTCAACTTGGAGGGCTTGGGAGACCTCAGAAATAAGGGAAATGGTGTATGTATGGGGGTCCCTCGGCTTACAGATAAGGAAGCTGGAGTCCTGTGTGGGACAGCAATCCCACAATTCAGCACATGGGTTTTAAAGAGGCCCAGCTCCTCCACTGATTACTAGCTATATGAGCCTCAGTTTCTTCATCTGTACAATGGAGATAGCAGCAATACCTACTCATCAGGGTAGTTCTGAGGATTAAACACAGTATACATGTTAAGGGCTCAATTATTATCAACATTCTCCCAACAAGGAAGCTGAGTTCAGAGAGGTTAAGGAGGTTACTCAGGGCTATACAGCTCATAAATGGAAAAGCCTGGACCTAGGACTCTGGCTCCAGAGACTCTCATAATCTCAACCACTGCACCACCCTATACCACCAGGTGATCACACAGAGAGACAGCAGAACAACAAGGAATGGATAGCTCCAAGTGTCACAGAGCACATTCCACACACCCCGGCCCCCACACTAGCCTTTTTCCTCTTCTAGTGTCCCTTTGGCACTTATCACAGGACATACTATATCTGTGCATATTTATGAGTACACTGCCCATGCCCCTGCCCACAAATATACGATCCATGGGGCAGGATATTTGGCCTGACCTGCTCACTTCTACATTCCTAGGACTTAGAACAGTACCTGGAACAGAGAAGGTACCCAATAAGTACTTCTGGCCAGGGAGATAGATATAAAGTCTTTATTCTAGGCGGAGATAATAATTTGTGGCGAAAATAAAGCGGGGGAGGGATCTGAGAGTACTTGAAGGAGTGGAGGATGGTATTTTCAGAAAAGCCTCTCTTACAGGTAACATTTAGATGGAAACTTATAACTCAAGTGAATGAATGAAACTAATGAATAAAGAGAAATCAAGTGTTGGGTGTTGGAGAGAGATGGCTTCAAGTCCTGGCTACACCACTCGCTGGCCAAACCGCCCTGGTGAGTTCCTTAATCACCCCGAAGCTGAGCTTCCTTCACTGTAAATGAAGGAATGACACTCACTTCACACAGCAGCGACAGTGTAAGCACTAGGGAGCACTGTTTTCTGGTACACAGTAAGTGCTCAATAAATAGTTCTGCTGTTAACAACAATGGTGATAGATGATAGAACATGTTATTACATATGATTAATATAATTATAATATACAATGTATATAAATATATATTTCTATAGA